GCACTGTAAGTACGCTCTGTGACGCTTATGAAGTCGGGCCAGTCTGAAAGCATCTCACTTGTCTAAGCACTCTCTAAACCACTCTTTGGTGTGGTCGTGCCCTTTTTCCAGGGATCTCAGTTGTGCTAACTGCCCGCATGCTGTTGGCTCGCTGTAGTGCAGTGCGGGGAGAGCTGCCTGCCAGCAGCGTTTGCCCACGCTCTCCTTGGGCCCTCGCGCAGCTGGAACAGAAATGTTGCTGTGCGGATCCATGTCGGTCATGGTTAGTCCTGCACATCAGCCCTCCTGGTGCTTTGCCTAGCTTCCCCTTACTGCTCCTCTGTGTTCCTCCTTTCTCACCTCACCTAGTTTTCAAATGCAAAACAGAAGCCTCAGAAAAAGAAGCCAACAAAGCTTGTGGTTTGCCCTGGCTGGCCTCTTACTGTCCCCAAATGGTCATCTTGTAGAGACGTGCATACAAACTGTGGTTGTGGTTTCTCTGAGGAGCTGTCAGCTCTAATGGACTTCTGTGCTGGTTTGCATCAAACTGATGGGAGCTGGGTTTGATTTGACCAAAAAATTCATCACCACTGTGTCCCAAGAACTTGTTGGACGGCTGTGACCTGCTGGAGTTACAGTTTCCCACCTGTGCAGTGCGCGGGGCTCTGGATGAGCTGGTTGCTGTCAGAAAGCCTCGCTCTGTTTGTCCGGGGTCAGCAGCCAGGGGTGGTCCACACTGGATTAACACACAGCTTCTTCTGCCCTTTAGCTGGTACCTGGAGCCTTTCATACCATCTCTATTGCTCTGCACCTCCGGGCCGTGGTACCGCTCACCTACATCTCCAGGGTAACATGTCCTCCTTTCCCCCTGCTGGCAACAGCAGGCTGTTGCCTTTTATATTAATATTTCAGGCATGCAAGCCATCTCATCACGGCTGCTCTGCCAATTCAGTCGTAATCATGCTGTAATGTAACAGTTGCTGAGCTCGTGCTGAAAACCTTCATAGCTAGCTCATCCCTCTTCCTCTTCGCTGGGTCGTGATTCTGGGTTGCAACAGACAGAAGGGAATTTCAAAGACACCCAAGTGATTTGTAAAGTGAAAATAGCTGCTTTTTTTTTTTTTTAATTTCAATGAAAGGTACGGCCAAAAGTCTGCTTTGAGGTTTTCGAAAGCTCTCTGTTCCTCAGGAAAATGGTTCTCTCTCTCGCCCACGTTCTGCTCTTTCCCCGGTACGATGAGGGTCCTCTTGCAAGCGATTATTTGCGGTTTTCCATATCCTGTTAAATCCTTTGGAACAAACAGAGGTCCAAGTATGAGACCGGTGCTTGACGTGAACAAATGAATCATTCAAGCATCAGTTCAATGCTTTTGGCTAGTCCTAATGTTTTCAGGTGTGTGGAGGGGGGCAGTACGAGGCTGCATACCCTTGGCCTCTGGTAAGGACAGAGTTAGTCTGCCGAGTGATTCGCAGGTCTCTGTTAGCGCAGCAGAGCTTTAATCTTTCTTCTCAATAGTTGGTGCTATAGGACCGTCTGAGACAAATGCTGTTTTCCCTCTCCTGAGGTGGTGGTGGTGTAACAGGACTCATTGAGGGTTAAGGCTTATGAGGACCTTTTATTTCTTGTACTAGGCTTCCAGAGTGTATGTCTCTCTTCCTCTTCCATGGCTGTGGGAAACCTCATCAGTTGGCCATAGCTGCAGATGCTGCTGGAAGGAAACAGCCTATCTCAATGAGGAGAAGGGGCTAAAAATATCAGAGCAGCCTTGGGTGGTAACTGTGGGAGCAAGCCAAGCGCGGAGCTGGTGCTGGGAGAAGATAAAGGTCTGAGCAGGTGTACTGGAAACGGGGAGAGCCACGTGCCTGGATGCTGGTGGAGAAGAAAGGATGGTTTTCTAGTGGTGGGATTACCCTAGCAAAACTTCTGTCTGCCCTAAAATACCATTGAGGACTGCATGTTACTGTTCCCTCTGTCACTGATGTGCCTTAACTAGGTCTCTGCGTGCCCTTAACCTGCTGCTGGTGTGTCTGGTGTCCTGCTGGGATGTAATCTCTGGGTTTGTGTATGTTTTCTGCTGTTTGTGGGATACCAGCCTGGGAGCTAGTTCTCTTT